TCAAACTCTGAATTTTGCAAACCATCTTCTGCAAGTTCTTTCATTCACACATTCCGCTCCATAAATTGAGTGAATGTTTCTAGCCGCTTCGGCTGCTGAGTTTCCTCTCTTGAACTTATAAATCATTATGTGCTTCAAATGATTCTTGGTTACTTCCATGTTAGCAGGGTTTTAATCAAACACAATTTAATTTTATTGTTCTCTGAAAGAAAATTCGATCAGTTTAAATGCATCTAAACATAAAATTATAGAATACTCTTTAAATTCCGTTCATTTTAACAAAAAGTTAAAATTCGGACAGAACTTATGGGATGACCTAATATACTAAGTGTATGTATTTTTAAGAAACTAACACCTAAGTATTATCGAAAAAAAGAAGCGGAATATATTCAGTGAGTAAGAGTTATATAAAAAAAAATGTCAAGTGGAGAAAATCTCGTGAGCGAGAAAGAAGTTTTCAGTATCTTTGGAAACAATCAGTGAAATTATCAATGTGCAATTAGACAATACATTAGCGACCGTTATGATTTTCTGATATTTCTTTTCTTAACGACTTCTCTTAAGTAGTTCACATCTAGAATGGATATTTTCTTTGGCAGTTGCTACTTATTTGTAATCTTTTCGGTTGTCGTTATCGAACTTATATAAAAGTTGTTATGTAATAGAATATTAAGTCTTTTATAATCAAATCGGTGTGAATTATTTCATCACAGTAAACCAGCCAGGCAGAAAAAAACAGAAACTTAACAATACTTCTGAAGAGAAATAAATGTTAGACATATAAAACAGATAAAAAACTACTATTGATTAAGATATTATTACATTGTTTCAAACACCTTACAGAGAATACAATTAGTAGATATAGAAATAAATATTCAAAATCAGTTGCGATATCACTTGATTGGTGATCATTAAGTATATTTCAATATTTACTTGCGCGTTTGCACACACACAGACACATGCAGATGAATACTCGTGCGTGTGTCTATGTATGTTGTGCGTTTGTATGTATGCATTTGTGTGTGTTTGTGTGGGTTTTGAATATTTTGTCCACTTCGGGTTTGAACTCCTTTTATATATTTAGAGATTAACTGATAAAATCCACAGTAGAATCTCCAATATAATTGGTCATGGTATCTCGGCTTCCGTTACATTCCCTCCACCGTAACGTAGCTTCCTTGTGTCTTTCTAAAAAAATATTTTCATGTTAATGGTTCTGATGTACTTTCATCTATAGTACCTAGACTTTATGAATAAACACAGCATTTGGGATTATTAGTTTAGACCTTCAAGCTTCACGCAGAACGCAAGTATTTCTTCAGGAAACATTTTGCAATATGGGGCTGCAGAAAGTTATCAATTCCCAGCAATTTTGTTTCAACCTAATGATTTCATAATTTGTAATACTGGACTTTATTTCCTTTATCTATTTTTTATTTGGAACTTTTTAAATGCTATCCTTTGCTATCTTTTTATTTACCTTCATCAGTTTTCAATTTTGGCATTTGCAATAATGTTGATTCCATTTAGCTAAGAGGCTGGAATATAATTTTCTATGTCAGGACGGAACTGAAGGTAGCGTGGTAGGAATTTTATTTTGTATGAAGTTAAAAAAGGGAAATGATCATTTCTCCTACATGAAATTATAAATTTGTTTTACATATGAGTATTGAGACTGCCAGAATATGATTTCGGGTCGTTTTTGCAGTACTGTTTGGTTACCATACATTACGTAAGGGTATTGTACTCTTTGATTATTGATGTTTTTAAATGTTTCCATCCTTTCTTTCTAGATAATTATTATCAATATATATATATATATATATATATATATATATATATATATATATATATATTAATTGGTCCTTTGGATGTTTCCATAGTTTAGTGATATTGTTCAACAGTTTACAATGGCCCAATTTCGGCCATACCTCTGAACCTTGGGAAGATTAAACAGAAGATGTTGATGTTATTGAGCGTTGATATCAATAGATACTAAACTGGTGAAAGATATTTAAATTAAACTGAACCGACATATTTTCTCTTGTATGTAAACACGCATCTTTACGTATAAAATGATGAAAACGTGTGTAAAATGCATTCCCCTGTCTATTAATTTTACTATAATATATATATATATATATATATATATATATATATTATTATTATTATTATTACCTTTTTGAAACATGGTTAGAAGTTCCATCAAAAATTAAAATCTCACCAGCAGCGATTTTTTTCTAATTTTTAAAATTCTCTTTGAACATAATATAACTGATAAGCCGTACAATCAATAGATTCACTTTATAGTGCACAGTTCGTAGAGTTATTTGAACTATACATAAGTACACACGCGCGCGCGCGCACACACAAACACACACTTCTTTATCTCTCTCTCACTCTCTCCCTCTCTCTCTCTCTCTATCTATCTATCTATCTATCTATATATATATATATATATATATATATATATATATATATATATATATATATATATATATATGTGTGTGTGTGTGTGTATGTGTGTGTGTATGGTGGAAAACAGATATTCGTAAGAAGAATATTTCAGATTCTAAAACTTTTTAATTGCTATACTCTATATTCCTCAAGCCAATTATTCAAGAATGTTCCTATAATATTATCAGTAAATATTTTTATCCTAAATATGCAAAAAGAACATTCTGTAATTGATATTGATACAAGAAAATTGCCATCATGGCAGGAACTAGAGAAATAACAAATTAAGCTCATAAAAAAGTAAAACTTATAGGAAAATCTCAGACAACTTGAATATTCAATTTAATATCAATTTTTAATTCATTGCAAGTAATACAATACACAAAACTTTTGCCAACCTAAAAAGAACAGGTGATCCACGGAAGATTTCTTCATGATCTTCCAAAAATTAATGCGTCAACCTAAACAAAATCAAATGGTTACTTGTCAAGTTGTGCAGGATGATTTGCTTTCATCAGGAATGAGATCCTATAACTGCTCTGGTAGAAACACCACGTAGGAATAAAAGAATAAAAGAAATAAACAGAAACGGTTTATTCGAAATACGCATGAAATCTAAAGAGAGAACACTAATAACTGTTAAGCAATAAAATCCATCCTATATTGCATGAAATGCTAGAAAATATAAAGAAATGAATTAAAAAAAAATCGTCCAACAGAAGGATTCTGAGAATACCATGGACGGAACGATTAAGATTTTGAGAAACTGTGCTAGATATGACTGTAGTAGATAGATGTGATTGTATTGGTAACGGTAAGTCACCCCGTATCCGTTTCCCTAATAATTAATAAGTAATAATTTGACCAGCAGACAATACTGCTTTCGTTTTAAATTTATAAAATGTTAATTGTGAAATATTTTTAGGGACACATATTTGTAAATCCAGTATATGTTTTCTCTATTTCCTTTATCGATGGAGATTTCCTTCCTAATATTTGATTTTAAGTAGTGTGGAATGTCAACATATTAATTTAGTCATTATTTCCTCTTAGAGTAACATGTGTTATCCATTTTACTGGTTGCCTATACTGGTAGTCTTCACGTTACGCAATTTCTGTTATTTGACTCAGTTTTTTTTTATTGTGGTTCTGCAATGCCATTACAAAATGTTCAAAGAACGATGCCTTTCGCTAATACCATCACAGACTTTACTCATGCAATGATTATTTTCACCATTAATCTTATGAAGCGATTCTATATAGCGGATAGTTTTTGAACGTGTTTGGCACAATACATGGCGTTCATAAAAAAGGTCTCGATTCGATGAGGGTATTAAAGAACATAACTCAAGTTTCAAGTTGATGATTGATTTGGTAGCAATTGGTGGCCTTGAGTGAGGTGACCTGAGACAGCTTTCTTTTGTCATCACTTTTCTCCTATACTTAATTTAATAGATACATACTCTGAGGTATAGTTTGGTAATCGATCTAATTACTAAATACATCAATCAGGCCGCATAGAGAAAAAAAAAACTTCACTGATTTATTGATTGCTTTACTACGGTTTATCAAGCATTTCCATGTTATTCAAAGCCAGAAGCCAGAAAATAATTTTAGTAAGAATTTTTTGAGACATTATTAATACACTGATACACGTCCTAGGAATTAACAAATACTCGGGAGATATAAAGATTCATAAGGGTTTTCAAGTGTGTTTGCATGTAAGTGACTCCAACGAATCTGAATTAAAACTAGGCTATCCAATTTTCAATTCTGAACTGTTATCCATTAAACTACCCACCCATCCTTGTTTACAGCATTCTGGCTTTCTTACGGTGACCCATCTAGTTTCTGACCAGGTGTGACGTTACTTAGGTAAGGTGATCATATGAAAATCAATGCTTTAACGTGATTGAAAGAATAGGTAGAAAGAGGTAGAAATGTAGGAGACCTATTCTCACCAAATCTATTTCACATCTAAAGAGAGGTAATAAATACAGATCTAGAATAGCTACCAGGATTTATTAACGGATGCCATATTCGCGGATGACACAGCATTGGCACAGACGCAGAAGATAAACTGAAATAACGTAGATAATGTATTATAGAAAAACAAGAAGAAATGACCATTATCTCTTGAAGACAGAATTTACGGTTGAAAGTAAAATAAAGCGACTAAGTTATAAGTTAGGATTTGGTCACGATCAATTAAGTACAGTACTTTAAATATTGGGACAATTGAGAAATAAACGTCGGAAAATGCGACAAAGAATTTTCAAAATTTAAGCAGTCTTAATAGACAGGTAAGTTTTGTTTAGAAACAAAGAAAAGCGTCTAAACCTGTATGTATTATCAAACCGTCTATATGATAGTGAATACTTGACTACCCCTATCAAAGATGAAGAAAAAAAAAATGAAGCTACAGAGATTTGGTTCTACCAGGCACAGTGTAGAAATCCATTAACAGGACAGGTGAAATATGGGGAGGTTTTATGGTAAATACAAATTACAAGAAATATAATTTCGATATTTATTCCAAAGGCTTGTGGCTATAACACATTGAAACACCGGTTCTTATACGATCACAGAAGTTAAGCAACGACGAGCCTGCTCAGTACCTAGATGTGTGATAATTTGGAAATACCAGGTGCTTGTAACGTTGGATGTGCGGGTAGTGTAATGTATAACGGCATAGGATTAGAAATCAGAGAACCGACTTACAGTTGCAATCGGGTTCGTTATACCTCGACGCAAATACAACTGGTAAATGTATGAGTCCACCTCTTCTCCCCTGCAACTATGGGTTAATTAGTAAGACGTGTATCATTAAAATCATTATTATACCAAAACAAATCTTAGAATCATAAATATGACCTCAATATGATTATAAACCGTAAAAAATCAAAAATTTTTTTACATTGCTGGTTATATTTTCTCTGGTAATGTGGAGCATTATCCGATTATTATCCGTCAAATTGGTTTTATGTTAGTGTCATCATCAACGTTATCATCATCGTTATTTTATTATTATTATTATTATTATTATTATTATTATTATTACTACTACTAGCAATACTACTACTACTAATATCTGACTTTAAGAAAGATATTAGGATATCATTATCTGGTTCTAAATATACTGGATATCAAGATACGACACCTTTAAGTAGCAATAATTTTTCTTTAAAATATACCCCCGGGTATGACCGCAAGGCAGCAGAAGATTAAATCAGAGTTTTCCATCTCTTCGATATACAACCCTCCCATCAACCCGATATATATTTATTATTATTATTATTATTATTATTATTATTTTCTTTGATTTCTGGCGTTTACACATTTCTTTCCGGATCCCGCCCAGGGGCCTAAGGTTAGAAATGGCATCATGACACTTTTCACGGACAAAAAAAAAAAAAAATAAAATTACATAGATAAAGCCCTTCGTAAAGTGTGGGCTGTACTTGTCAGAACAATTTTTTGTATCTCCTTGAGGCATGGACTTCCAGGTATCCATTCAATTAGTCTACTGCAATCTTTTCCAACCAGTCCTAGGGCTCCAACTACAACAGAGATTGTTGATGTTCCCATATGCCACATTTTCGAGATTTCTATTTCAAGGTCCTTGTATTTTGACAACTTTTTGAATGTCTTCAAAGATACATTGCAATCAGCAGTGACTGCCATATCAATAAAGAGGCACCGTTTTTGTTTGTGGTCTTTAATAACAATATCTGGGCGGTTGGCCTTGATTGTTCTGTCAGTGTGTATTGTGTAATCCCATATAATTGTAACAGGTCCTATCTCCGTAACGGGGTCTGAGTGCTGTTCATACCAGTTCCTTTCAGTTTCCTTCCCGTAGAAGTTGCAGATTTTCCAGTGCAGATATTGGCCCACTCTGTCATGTCGGGTTTTATATTCAGTGGGTGCCAACATCGTGCAACCTGATACAAGATGATCAATCGTTTCTGGATATTTATCACAGAATCTGCATTTTGGGTTGACACAATATTTTAGTATATGTGCTTGATAATTCCTAGTTAGCAAGCATTGGTCCTGCGCAGCAAGGATAAAAACTTCAGTTTCCGCTTTCAACCCTGCACTGCGTAGCCACAGATGGGTACAGGTTTTGTCTACATCTGCTTGTTTGGTACGGGCAGAGTATTGGCCATGAAGTGGTTTATCTTGCTATCGCTTCTGTATCTGGTCGGTTGCATTCGTCTTTGCTTTTTTTTTTTAAGTATTTTGCAGTTTCAGCCGGTGTATTGTGTTGTAGTTGCATCTCTACGCCAATTTGAAACTCCATTTTGAATTTTCTGGCTTCTTTCATTACGGAGTAAAGACGCTTACTGCTTTCCATGTTCCTTGACGCATACAATCATCCAGTCTTCTGTAGTTTCCAAATATCTTTGGAGGCCAATTGTTGTAGTTTTGTAGGACAGTTCCAGTTGAACTAATCATTTGCCTCATTCGGATCTGGGCACATACAGACGATCAACATCAGCTTTGGGATGATGCATGCGATAGCAAGTGAGAAGCTTTCTGGTTTTGGCGTCCATTCGCTGAATTTAAGCTATGGTCCAGTTAAGGACATTAAAGCTGCATTGCACCACAGGGACAGCTAATGTGTTTATGGCTGATATTCTGTTTTTGGAGTTTAGTTCAATATTTAGTACCAGACGCACACGCCTGTAGTACTCTTTTCTTATTTTTTTCCTTCATTTGGGGGTGTTGTATGCCATCTCCTTCGCTAATTCCTATGTACTTATAAGATTCATCATGCTCCAATTCCCTAACATTTGTGACAAAATCTAAATCTATTAAGGGTGTTTCTGTAATTCTACCTTTCTTGAAAGTTACTTTTGCACATTTATCTAATCCGAAGTCCATACCTATGTCGTCACTGAAGTATTTTACAATATTGAGGAGGCCTTTCAACTCATTGTCGTCTTTGGAGTTTGAGATCATCCATGTAGAGTAGGTGATTGAATATTTTCTTATTTATTTTGTAACCATAGCCACTGTTGTTCAGTTCATGTGTAAGAGGGATTAAGGATAAACAAAACAGAAGGGGTGATAGAGAGCCTCCTGGAAAGATTCCACGTCGGATATTCAGACGGTTGCATATGGCAGTGCCCCCGGTGTGACTAAGGTATAGTTCGGTGTTCCACATTCCCATGCTGTGCTTAAAGAAATTTTAATACCACAGAGGAGACTTTGTCCATTTCCAAAGTCTTAAGGATCCAAGAATGTGGAACACTATCAAAGGCTTTACGATAATCAATCCACGCTGCACTTAGATTTCTGCGTCGTCTTCTGCAATTTTCCTGGATCATTTTATTTATCCGAAGTTGATCTTTGCAGCCATATGAACCTCTTCTGCATCCCTTTTGTTCCAGCGGGAGAATGCTGTTTGTTTCGAAAAAAGAATTAGTACGGTTCGTCAGTACAGACGTGATCAACTTATACGTTGTGGAGAGACATGTTATCGGTCTAGAATTTTTCGGGTCGTCTGTTTCAGTTGTTTTTGGTATGAGGTATGTAATACCTTCAGTAACCCATTCCGGGATTTTATTGAGATTATTTACAAGTGTTGATAATGTTTTTGCAAGAATTCCATGGGTAGATGTGAGATGATACAGCCAGAAATTGGGCAACTTGTCATTTCCTGGGGATTTCCATTTTTGAGATTTCGTTAGAGCTTGTCTAACATCATCTGCGGATATATTTTCCCATTCTTGCAGAGGTGTATCCAGCAGTCGTTCTTCTTAACGCCGTATCCATTCTGCATTTGGGTTATATTCCTTTGGGCTGCTCCAAATATTTTCCCAAAATATCTGTACATTATCAATCGATGGTGGCCTTTCGACATGTATAGGTGTTTCTTCCAATTTCCCTGTAAAATTTCTTAAGATCTGTTCGGAATATTTTATTTCGGCGATAGAACTTACAACGTTTTTCGTATAGTCTTGTTCTCTGCGCCTTTAGCTGAAGTTTCTGTTTCAGCATTTTCTTGATTGATGGAATATCATTTAGGGATTTAATACTATATTTCCGCTTGATCTTTTTGGATTTACGTGTGGAAATATTAGGGTTTCTGGTGAGCTCATCTAATATAGAAAGCTCACATCTGATTTGTTTTATTTCCCGTATCCGTTTGGTTTTCCAAGCTGGTTCTCTGTGTCTGTTAATTTTATTCATTTTCTTGACCCCAAACTTCCGAGTCGCTGCTAAAGATGTTGCGTATATGACGTTGTTAACTTCTGTGATGTTTCCCGGTGGTTTATCTGTTAACAGTTTTTCCAGGGCAGCATTGTATATTTTCACGATTTACTTGTTGGATTTCGTCATATGGATTTTCGGGAACTGGTCTCTTTCTGACAATTGTATGAAAGTTACTCTGCTGAGTACTTGGATGACGTCATTTTTCGCTTCGGTGGTTTTCAAGGAATTCTAACTTAATGTACCTGGAGTCATCTTCAGTGACAATTTCAGGAGAACTGCAGGTTGTGTCTAAGGAAGAGTCTTGGGTTTCATTTCTTGGGAGATTATTTCGTATTTCATTCGATTTAGCGTCCACCTCATCCTCTATCGCATTCCTTATTTCTACATTCGTCTCAATAGAATTTGAGTGATGGGTCATAGTATTTTGTCTTATATCTAATTTTATCTTATCTATTTCTGCCTTTGAGAGTCTGTTGTTTCGCATGATGTCCCTACGGACATTGGCAAGCATGTTTGGATTGAGATTAGGCCTTATATCATTTCCCACCATACTTCTCCATATTTGGTATGTTTGATTGGTGGTGTTCTTTGCTGGGTTTTCGAGTGCAGTGAAGAAGGATGTCATGACTTGTCGATACTTTTCGCGGCTCAATTTCGTTCGTCTACTTTTTATTAGTCAATTTGGTATTGAGTAACTTGGTCCAAGGTTGGCAATAATCCGGGTTTGGTGACCAAGTGTCTCTTCGTGTGTGGAAGAGTTTGTTCCAGTGACAGATTTTTCGTCCTCAGACGAGTTCCTCTCTGAGGGACGTGGCCCTCGTTGTCCCGGTTGACGGCCGATCCGGTATGAAATATTATTCGTATTCATTGAAATTGGTAGAGATGCGTGTTAACCTTGACCGCCAAGGGGTAATTATGTTCAGGTTACCAGCTTTAGGACGAGTCCCGAAGAAGATCCAAGAGCACGCCCAAACAATGAGATTGTGGATTTATTAATATAAATTAGAATAGTTCATAATAGAGTGTGTTATTCAGTGGGGTAGACGAAACTAAGTTTTAACTTAGTATAAGTCTGAATGACCACTCCAAGGGGGATAATTAGATATATTATTATTATTATTATTATTATTATTATTATTATTATTATTATTATTAAATTACATTTAATAATAATGTTTCAAAACAAAATTTAATTGCACTACAAAATATTGCCTCAAGCATCCAAGAATAAACATATTTCCATTTTAAGCATCAGTTACGTTCACAGTTATAACTTTTATTTTAATTTTAGTTTTGTCTATGCCATCCATAAGATTATATTGGACGTATAACAGATACATTCTCCATTTCTCTTTTCTATCAACACTCTTATTTGTGTCTATGACTTCTGGGTAAATACAGTTGTTTTTTTTTAAGATACAATTAAGCAG